GGCTGCCAGGGGTACCCTGACCAAAAAAGGTTGAAAACCCGAATTAAGGTTTAGTTATAACTTATAATACAGAAAACTGAGATCATCTAAATCAAAGGGCCCTGCAGAACTGTGCACATCTGAGCTTGTGGGGAATGGAGGCCAGGGCTTTCTGTCTGGTTTATTAGACTCCTTCTGTTTGTCCTTTGCTCAGACCTGACCTCCAAAAACTGGTAGATAGACTGACGGTACTTGGTGCGGACTACGTCATCACAGAAGAGATGCTGAGAAAGCCAGAGATGAAAGAATTATTTAAGGTACCTAACTGATGGTCTCTTCAGCAAGAAGAATTACAGTAGGGAGACAAGAGGGTAATTCCTATTACCCAGAGCCAATATGGGGACATCTTTGGTGGGCAGACTGTCACCTGCTAGGCTTTTGACCTCAGTGATATTCTCTGACCATAAGTTCCATAGGGATAAAATAAGGTGTTTCTTTTGATCCCTTTGAAAGTTGCCTGTCAGTGTTGTTGAGTGCCCCCTTGTTCTTCTTTGGGCAGGTTGGTAACTTGGAGTGCCTGGCCACCTCTGCACCTTCTGGTATTTTTTGACTTGTCAGATCCTTCTTATTTGTCTCCTTTTCAAACTGAACAGCCCCACTCTTCAGCCTCTGTTCACCCTGAGTCTTTCCATGCCTTGAATTGCTTATCTGTTTTTGGAATCTTGTGATGTGTCTGTATCTTTGAAGTGAGATGACTACAACGGAAGTGCCAACGCTGACACCAATGTGATGCCAGTAGATGTACTACAGGGACAATGGCAGGAAGAAACTAGATAGGACTTTGCATATAAGTCTCATATCCAGATTCTCTGATTTGAAATGCCCCACTGCTTAACGTATAGGCACCACCTCCTCTTCCAGGGAGGTGTTTCACTTGTGCCCCTCTCTGACTCATCAAGTTGCCCCAACTGTTTTGGAGCTGGTCTTCATTGCTGTTGCAGTGCTAGGAACATAAATCTGCTTCAGCTACAGGCCTGAGCTACCCTGGAATAGAGCAGCCTTTTTGGAACTTGCCTTGCTCTATAGTCAGAGTCTCCGCCCCATGAGAAGGGAATCTTGAGGAGCCTTTTTAAATGTTTCTGGATGGAGAGAAATCCAGCTGGGGAAGGGGGAGTTGAGCTTTTTGCCTTGTCTTTCATCTAATTCTTTTTAGAAAGTCCCAAAGCCCCGGCTGGCTCTGAACTGTGTTGGAGGAAAAAGTGCTACTGAGATGTTGCGCCTTTTACAGTAAGTTCATCTGTTTGCTGCCTCTATTTGAGTGGTGACTTTATATTTGGTATTAAAAAGAAGGCCCGTTTCAAGCACTGGCTTGTTCTAGAGTTCGCTAGGACCAGTGGGAGTGGAGGTAGCTGCATCTAATTATGTTACCTTAGTCACTTTTTTCAAAAACTGAAGGGTGATCCTTGAAAGCTGAGAAATTGAAGATCTCCTTGTAAATCTAGGAAAGCTTCTTTCCTGATGATGCAAACTACTATTTCTGAAGACTGTTAAGAGTTGAAAGGCATGTCCTTTCGAGACTAGTCAGAATCCTATTGGGATCTGTCATCATATTAGTGAGCTGGGGGAGAGCATAGGATCTTGTACCACCAACTGCAAATGTCAGCTTTGTAAGGAGGAGGAAGAGGTTAGAATGCAAGCAAGCAGTAATGTATTTGAAAGAGTCCCAGGTGGTAGGGATGATCCCTATCTGTAAGTCTAAAGATTTAGGTTTGTTGGAAAAGGGGCCAGGCATATTAAATGTGTGTAGTAGGGAAGATCATTAAAAATGTGATGCCTGATTTTGCTTGCAGGCATAAAGGGACCATGGTTACATATGGTGGAATGGCAAAACAACCTGTGACTACCCCCGTGGTAAGTGCGTGTGATGTTTGTGGCATGTCTTACACTGATGTCACATAACACTTGCACTATAGTGTTGAGACTTTCATGCATAAGACATACTGCCTGTAATTTCCAGATACCCTGAAGGTCCAAGCACTGCACATCCCACAACTATTCAGTGCTCTCTAGCTCCCTATATCCTTTTTATTTCCCACTGAGCAGCACTGCTGCTGTTATGACAGGAGGAGACTGTGCTTTAGACTTCCTTCAGGCCAAGCCTCAGACACAGCCTGTCTGTTCTTTAAATGAAGATACAGGGTCTCTTAGCCAGCTGGGAACATTATAAGAATGAGCCAGCTCTTGTCTGTTTCTGGTTCCTGGGGTTTGGGCAGATGTCTTTCCTACTCTTGCCAGTGCATAGGGAGCAATTTGCTGTGGCATGAAACCCCAACCATTAAAAGTTATCACTTCAGCATCTGTCATGCAGATCCTCACTACAAATCACTTTCACTCTGTCACACATATCAGAGCAGCACGTGAACGGCAGATTGCTCCAATGCTGGTGCTTTCGCTGGCCTGAAGTTTGACTCTGGTGAGACACTTACTTTTTACCCTCCTAGTCCTCAATTCTGCATCTTCTCAGCACTCTCATAGCCACAGGTCTTTGTCTTCTCAGGACTCTCATAGGGACCTGATGCTAATGCAGTTTTAATATGAATTTTTAAATGTAGTGTTAAATCCATTTGCTCCCAGAGAGCCTGGAACAGCAGGGGCATGGCTAGATAGGAATTATTACTTGTGACCTGAAGGAATTGCCTCTGGCAAGAATCCAATAACTTGTGGCTCCTGTTTACTGTCCAGCATCATGTAAAAGTAGACATCTGAGTTTCCTGAATTTCGGGCTCACTCATGCTCTAACAGCAACAGTCAGTGAGTGGCAGGAATGCAGAATTGCAGAACAGCCCTATTGCAGACTTTCATGGCAGTAGGACAGTGGCTATCAAAGGTTCAATGGCAGGTAAAAAATGTCTCAGTAACTGCTTGAGGGCAGTCTCTACCCTGGTGCAAGCAAAGCAGAAATATAATGTTAAACTACATCTGTTGTAAACTATTTTCTTCCCCCTCCCTCCCCATCCCTGCCCCTCAGAATTATATCTCACCTTGTCTCTACAGAGTGCATTAATCTTCAAGGATGTGAAGCTACGTGGGTTTTGGATGACCCAATGGAAGAAAGACCAAGCCCACAGTAAGTTGAAAATCCCATCAGCCTGTGGGGATGCATGCTGAAGAACACAACTAGTCACTAGCCCATGGGTATTGTGTCAGTACTGCCTAAACAAGCTTTCACAAATCACTTGGTAGAAGTCCTGTCACCTTGGACAAGTTCTGGCAGGTATCCCATCAGCATGAGGCTAGCTGGAACATAACCAGGCTGGCTTGTGGGCCGAGGTGGAGACACCTGTGGCTTAAAAGGCCAGGAGGCATCTTTTTCCATTCATATCTCATGCTGCATGTTACATTCTGCTACACTCATTTTAGCAGGTAATAATCTGGTAGGTTATGCACCCGTTGGTGGGTCACATTCAGACTGGGCATAACAGTTTATTGGAGTCAGTGGGAAGTCATCAGTTGAAACTAGATTTGAGTTGGGCCAATATCTTTGCTCATTCTGCACTGAAAGCTTTATACAGGATTATTAACTTTGTCGTCCCTTGGTCCCAGAACTTCCTCCTGCCACACCAGGCACTTGCCTTCGAGCAGTGCACAAGCATTTACCAGTTCTCCCAGACCCTACCAAAGATGCAAGATAAGCATCAATCCTGCCTACATGTGTGAAGAAGCCAAGAGAAACCTGGAGATGTAGTAGTCAGACAGAGGGGAGCGGTCAGCATTTCTCACTCCGTCTGCCTTGAACAAGTTCATGCTTCTCATATATCCAAGTTCTTAAGAAATGGACTATGAGCACAAAGCCAGAATGGACTGTAGAATAGCCAGTTCACTCTAGCAGATGCTTTCATGGGGAATACATGCAAAACTGTTCTCAGCTGTTTCATATGAAGAGTAGGTAAATGTGTACTTGGATTTCTAGCCACCAAATGTAGTAAGTGGGTGGTGACTGGTTACAAATATTGACCTGGAAAAGTTCTTTTTGAACCAGTAGAACATGGGCTGTATTTCCCTTCTGTGCCCTTCCACATAATGCACAGAATCAGGTCTTTGTACTGAATCATCTGCCTTTGGTCAAGAAACCTGATGACCTGCAGTATTGGGCTTAAATAGTTGAGAGGGGTCAGGCCCCAGCTGCTTAGCATGTGTTGGAGTTTAGAAAAAAGCCAGGCATTTGGCATCTAACTTGTTTTGGGAGTGGAGGATACTGCTCTTTCTGCTTTGAGATGGGGTAGATATTGTCCTAAATTAAAAGTAGCCTCTTCTAGGGGGTTTCCGACCCAGTAACATGGGCCACACAGCTGAATAGAAAGTAACATTTAGTGTAGTGAACAAGGCAGCCCAGCAAAGAAGTTGCCAGCTGCCCACCTGTAGTATAACACCAAACAGCTAGAGGAACTCGGGGACTCCTTACCCTCGCATCAGTACAAATCAGGTATCCAATTTGACAAGACTCCCCAGTCTTGTGAAGGCTTCCACATCTTGCTGACCTGTATAAACAAGATGCAGGGATTTCAAAAACAAATGAATGCTACACATGTGGAAGGAGTTACTGGAGGAACAAACCAGTTGGTCCACCTCAGCCTGCCAGAGCTTTAAATTGCTTCCAGGCTATTGATTCTACTGCTAAGGATGGTACTGTGGGTGAGCTCTGCAAGGAGCAGGATTTAGCATTCTTTCTGTTTGTTTCCTTTACAGACAAGGACAGACTGACTGGAATGATTCAGACTTTGTGTGATCTTATTCGTAAAGGGCAGCTCAGTGCTCCAGCCTGCACAGAGATTCCACTGAAGGACTACCAAATAGCCATAGAGGCTTCCATGAAGCCATTCATCTCAGCTAAACAGATACTTGTTATGTGATCTTCAGCAATGGAATATCATCTTTGTTTCCAGAGGATTTTTAAGAGGGGGCTGAATCATAGTCAGTTCTGGTCATATCAGAGACCCTATAACTGGCTCCCAGCTGGTTTCAAGGATGCCACCTTCAGTGATCTTGTCTCCTGAAGAGGAAGAATCTCTAAAATTTTGTCAGTTGAATTCACTTGGAGAGTACAACAACCCACTCTGAAACTATATGTGTGCGCTGAACATGACTCTTGGGAGCAAATTATCTGCTTTTGGAGCTGAATGCTGTTGTTTCCTCAGCTGAAATTAGTTTCATTGAAATAAAGTCAGTAGTTTCTAAGGGGCAACCCCAGGGATCCTAAAAATGTGAAGGGAAAACCAATCCTCTCCTGGATTATTGCTTACTGAAATTGGTCAGTCAGGAAGGAGACAAATAGGAGCAGGTTTTACTGGTTGTGCATCTTTGCCTACTCTGGAAAGCAACAGGGCTCCCAGCAAATTGCTAATGCAACCTTTTAGTATAAAGTTGACCTTCCTAGACCATGCCACTGGTGAGGGAGCCTCTCTTCCTTTCTCCATGGCTAGTTCACCTGAAGATACTTCCAGAAATGAAAAACTGACCTGGGTCAAACCCCCATGCCATCATCATATACTTTACTTAGCAGGGGGACTTCATCTATAATTTGCTAGTAAAGTCAGGGCTAGAGGTGCACTGATATACCAGTCCATAGCAGATCAGCACTGATAAAAGGAAAATAATATTGGCAATCAGCTTTTGTTGGCCAATAATGTCACCAATAAATGTTGCATGTATGCACATGGCCAGGAATGCAGCCCAGCAGCTTAGAAAGTGACCTCCTGCCGGTAAGTCTGTGGTGGGGAAAGGGTAGGGGGCAGAGTGAGGCCCCCATGGTGAGGGAAGGAGCGGGGCAGGCACTGGCCAGCCAGAGCAGGACACAAGATGGGGGCAACTTGTCTGGAAGGAATGGGTGGGGGTGGCTTCCCACTGCTGCATGCACCCCCAGGGGAGGCATGTGCCCCCCTAGATTTGTGCACAAGGTGAGGGCAAGCTGCCACTGTGGGGCCAGCAGCTGTGCTGGCCTCTTCTTGGCAGGGGGGCTGGGCCGGGGCTGCAGTCAGGGTGGGCAGTGCCAGTGCTAGGAGGGGTGGTTACAGGGAATTTTGGGGTGGCCATAGTCACCCCTAACCAGCACTGCCACTGCTCCCACCCACTCTGAGCCCAGCCCCCGCTCCTTCCTCCTTTGCCCCCTGTGGAGAAGAGGCCAGCGCAGCCCCTGGCCCCAAGTCCACAGCACCAGGGAGCTGCCCCCCCGCCCATGTGCCCTGGACAAACTTCCTACAGCTCTTTCCTGTGCCCTGCTCCACCACCATGGGGGACTCCATCTGGCCCTCCCCTGTGCCCCTTCCTCCTCCCCACCCCCCAGACTTACTGGCCAAGCACTACTCCCCAAGCTGCTGGGCTGCATGTAGGCTGTCAGATTGGTATTGGCCAATATGGTTGGTTAATAATTAGTATTGGCCAAAAAAAGTCTTTATCGGTGCACCCCTCTAGTCATGGCAATTAGGGGGAAGATCTTATCGTTATAAATGTGTTGACCTAGGGCAAAAATTGTTGAAGTGTTAAGGAGAATAAATTCTCAAATTTTATCCTGTGTTCTGCCTGGGATATTTATAGTCATCTAGGTTTTTCCCAGCTTATTTGCCAGTAATGAGAGACAGTATCAAAAGCCTTCCTGAAGTCTAGGAAAACT